GTGGGGATGACGCCTGGACAATAATCGCATATCAACAAAGAGTCAATAATCGCGAAGACTTTGTATTGACATAAATATAGTCTTTTAAGTTTCCTATGTTGAGGAAACATTGAACATTGCTCAGCGCTATCATAAGCAATGTATCTTCAAGACCTTTATCAATTTCAAAATGTTTCCTCAAGTCAATTTCAGATTCACCAAACGTCGTAATACTGTGAACGAGTCTGGTACGTACATTGTGTGTAAGAAGTACACCCGGAATTATTAAATAAAATACAAAAAATTGATTTATTCATTAAAATTTATTTTGTCGCCTTCAAAGTAGGCCCCATCGAGTGCAATACAACTATGCCAGCGGTTGACCCAATCCTTCATACATTGTTCGTAGGCTGATTGAGGTATGGCCTTCAGCTCCTTCAGCGAATTTCCTTTTATGGCCTCAATTGACTCAAAACGCCTTCCTCGAAGTGGTAATTTTAGCTTTGAAAACAGGAAAAAGTCACACGGTGCCATATCAGGCGAGTACGGTGCTTGGTCGATAACATTCGTTGAGTTTTTAACCAAAAACTCTTGCACAACGATGCTGTTTTTTGGAGAAAATTGAGCTCTTTCGGTACCAGTCGTGCGGCGACCCGTTTCATGCCCAAAATATCAGTCATAATGTTATGAACGGACTTAAAAGATATGTTGACCTCTTCAGCCAACTCTCTAAGACTCATACGACGATTTTCGAGCACCAGCTTCTTGATTTTGTCGATGTTTTCGTCGTTCGTACACGTCGCAGGTCGACCAGAACGAGGCAAATCAACTACCACTTCTCGGCCCTCTTTGAATGTTTTATACCATTCATATGCCTGTGTTTTTGACATGCACGATTCACCGTAGGCCTTCTGCAACATTTTCAGTGATTCGGCACACGAAATTTCGTTTGAAAGACAAAATTTAAGGCAAACTCTTTGTTCAACTAAGTTGTCCATTGTAAAAATCGCAGAACACTCAAAAGTATGGTTAACAAAAACAGCTGCTGTCAACACACTGAGTCACAGATCGCGCTCAAATTCCCACGTGGTACTCGGTACAGTGCTACCAACTTACAGAAAAAAAATTGTGGCGATATCTTTTACGAACATCTTTCAAATGATAAATTCCGGGTACTTTTTACACAGAATGTATGAAATACAATGCACGATGATGATTTAATAAGAGCGACACGTGCGAAGTACCCCATAACCGACCCCTTTATCGTGTCAGAGTGGTTTCGTCTCATGATAGAATTCGATGGAATTCATGAATCAACGGTGGAGTGTACCCAATTTCACGGAAAATGCGGAAAGACTTTCGTTCGTCCCCGTTTCAGTGCCTTCGGTCTTAATTCTCTGTGTTTATTATGGCTATATTATTAGAGATGACTTAATGTTGTTAGTCACCGTTGCCGACATGCCACAACAAAGATTACATCGTATCAAGAAAAATAATCTACACGTGGGAACTATTTATTACATTACGTGTTGATAAAAAAATTAATCAAGTTTCTCGTGATATTATAAATAATTTGTCATGAATAATATAATTTTGATCGATTATGCATTTTCCTCATTGTTCAAGCTGCCGGTATTACTAAATATTATTTTCAATAACAGAAACAAACAAACGATAAATCATATCTTGCTTCTGACACTGTATATTTCTTTCGTAACTAAATAATACCTATAAGTATCTGAATAAATGTTATATTTGTCACTGATAAATATATTTTTCTTCATTTTTCACACGTTTCCTATTCTACGGAATTGCTCCTACTTTATCGTCATTTAATTACGCAAATGATTACACGGTCTACAGAACAACTTTTTAAAAATTGGTCCAAGCGACTTGAGTCCTTTTGTGAAGTTAGGAACATTAGTTTAGTAAATGATCTGTAAAAAAGATTCGAAAAAGTTGCATTTGGTCGGAATCGCGAAAAAAATAGTAAAGGTCGCTTTTTATCACTTAGTAATCTGAGGCTACAATGAAAATTTACTAAATACATATCGAATATTTATTTTAGTTACGTGGATACATACTGAAACTTTCATTGAAATCGATTGATACAGAAATAAATGACAGGCATCAAAAGATGTAAGAATTGTTAGATTTGCTACAATTGTTGGTCGAAAGTCGCGAAAAACTATGATTTTCAACATTTTTAATCGTATGTATCTCATAGCAACGTTAACCGATATTGATGAAACTTTCAACATGTACATAACTAACACAACTCGTCGAAATGTATTTATTAAATTTTCATTACAGCCTCAAATAAAAAAGTTGTAAAAAGCAACCTTCACTACTTTTTCGCGATTCCGACCAATTGCAACTTATTCAGATTTTTTTACACATCATCTAGTAAACTAATGTTCCTAACTTCACAAAAGAACTCTAGTCGTTTGGACCGATTTTAAAAAAGTTGTTCTGTTTTAAAGGATGTGCGAATACTTTTTTATTCACTATATATTTCAATATTATACACAATTACTTGAAAATCATAACTGCATTTACATAATGTTATGTTATCTTATAAGTTCCTACTTTTCTACACTTTTGGATATTACAAAACATTTTATTTTCTCAAATATAACAGCAGAGCAACATATATTTTGTCGTTACTATTGAAACTACATATATTGAATAAATATTACTCATATCGGTTAAACAAATACGTCCTCGTTACAATTCCTATCTGATATCATCTAAAATCAAACTTATTTAGACTTATATCGATTAATCCTCCGAGCGCTATAGTCATAAAGGTATATGTATACGTCCCACTGAATGACCTTAATCTAAATAAATTATAAACCAAACAAAAATTACATCAATGTTTGTACAATTTTATACAGCAAAAGGTCAAAGAAGATATCAATTGTATGCTGTGTAAATAATTAATATTCCTTTTCAGTACTACACGTAGTACATGATAAAAAAATTCCTCGTAAGCAATCACAGCAGATCGAGTACCGTTGAATTTTAGTATAAACTTTCAGTTTTGGACTATTTCGCGGCGAAAGGGTTAAGCATGTTGACTCTTTAGATTCCACTTTGACACATACACAATTTAACTGCACTTTTAATATAATACCTCAGCTGTATCTAAGTTGAGTATAATTTTATTCCAATAACACAAATAAAATTTTCATCTTTTATCTATATTTTTTATTCAAAGGCTTTAAAGAAACCTTCGAATAACTTTTGCCAGTTCGAATAAACGTGCTGCTGAGTGTCGAGTGTCGGACATCAAAGACCAGCGATCGACCATCGGTATACAATGCATGTAAGCAGCTAAGGAATCACGTATAAATGAAAAATTAAACTTTTACAATTTTCTATATACTTTCATGACTATATCACGAATAAGTTAAGGAGATTCTCTCGATGAAAATGAGCCCAAACAACATTATTCGAACTATTTTCAATAATATATTATTTTTATCGCAACATTATGTATGAATAAAAATTGCTCAATTACACTCGAATTTGGACTCATTTTCATGAGGATAATCTCTTCAATTCATTCGCAACACTTTGATTAAAATATATTGAACAATGTAAAAGTTTAAATTTACATTTACCCGGTTATCCGACCCGTGTTGTTACCCGGGTAATTGCTATGTTTCGGGTAATTTCTATCTTTGTGTGAGGTTATAACACTACGAAAAAATGAATTAATTTTAATCAGACGTCTTTATTTTTGTATAAAAATACCAATAAATTAACATTTTCCGTGGAAAATACACGTTCGGAACTAGCAGACGTCTAATGAATGTTAGGAATACTCAAATACATTTTAACCAGTTTTGCCAGTCTAGGATGAGGTGGTGACGTGGGTAAATGTATTAATTAGTACTCACTATAACTATATTAAATTTTATTTACACTACTCACTATTATGTACAAACAAATTCCGAAAGGAATTAATGTTGTTGGTTTCCCAACAACAATCAGAAAATATTTGCCCTAGCGTTAAGGGTAACGAATGACTCAGTCGATATCTTTACTAGGCGAGTGCTCGTAACCGAATGCCTCCAGCTTACACCCGCTGTCTTTTCGGGGGAGGAAAAAAACCATAAAAGAGAAAGTTCCCCCGACCACTTGAACGGAAATTTTCCTGTCAATTCGGAAATCCTTGCGCACAGCTGCAAATCATTTTATTACCCTCGAAACCTTGAGCTCATCGGCTCGAGGGCAAAAATGACCAGCAACCGTGCGCGGACGTTCCACAGCCCACTACCTGGCTGTGTACGCTACAAGGATATCTAGTTTCGTGTATTTTCCACCATTCTAGTGGACATAAATTATGGTTTCTTTGAGCCTCTAGTAAATACATTTGAAACTCGGAAGTTTGGTATATGAAATCTAATGCAGTCGGCCTAGAATTAATATTTTCGAGAGTTTCGGTTGTTACAATGTTGTCTGTCATGCTAGTAATGCAAATTTTAATTGCATTTTTTCCTTCACTGGTTTCAAACGATAAGTCTTTGCTTCTAGGATCCAGAAACGAAGCAATACGATGCGCAGATTCTAAATGCGAATCCAAGTTAAATCTATTAATAAATGAAGTTTTTTAAACTTTTTTAAACTGTTTAGTGTCGGCTGTATTAAAATCATTAATTTTTAAATGGTTATTAATAAGCCCATGAACAATAGGTAACACTAACGAGATGGTTACATTTCTTTCGAAGCATAATACAGTAGTCGCAATTTGTAATGGTTTTAACGCTGTAATAATGTCACTCATGGTTAACCAGTCATGTTCCAACATTTCTAGTTTTAACGCAATATTTAATCTAGTAATAGTCCTATCTGCTAAAACGGAAACAATTGCATTTCTATTGCTCTCAAGTCGTTCACGCATATAGTAAGTAGAACTCCACCTTGTAGGACAGTTTTGGATTAATTTTTGTTCACTTAAACCTAACTGCTTCTGTTTTTCGGTCAAAGCGGATGTAGCTAAATTGGAATGGTTAAAATTGTTGTATAATTTTACTACCCTTTTGAATTACTTCTTTGCATCTGTCAACTGAACTCAAGGCATCTCTCGCGCATAGTTGTGTAGTGTGTGCGGCACAGGGAATGTTGTATCTTACGTCATCCGATAGATCTGCAGCCATAGTTATATTGTACGCATTATCATGGACCATAGCGTTCACTTTACCACTAATATTCCACTCTTCATTAATCATATTAAATATTATGGCTAAATTTTCTCCCGAATGACGATCTTCCATCAACTGTGTACAAACAGTATAATTTTTAAGGACCCCTTTTTCATTTATGAAATGTTCAGTTGCAGAAATATATGAATCCTGTGATCTCGAGGACCATCCATCATTGGTGATAGATATATCAGATGCCATAGAAAGCTGTTTTTCAATTCTATTTCGTTTTTCGTGGTATAAAAGTTGCAATCGTTTTATAATAATTTTAGGACACGGACAACGATATCCAGGCTCCAGTACAGCGATAAACTCTTTAAACCTTTCACTATTACAAAATGAAATAGGCACCATGTTTACAGAAATCATGTGAGCAAGTGCTTGTGATATTTGTTCATGTCGTTTTGAAGTACACGATGAATCCATTTTTTGCAGATTTTTCGGAGAACAGCCTTTACTATTTGCAGGTAACAGCCCTGATGTTGATGGTTTGTCAGTATCAATATCCGAAACTTCACTAGATATATTGGAAAATGTATCCCGATGCTTGCCCCGCAAATGCTTTGTAATAGTTGACGTTGATCCGTTGTAAGATATCGTGCTATCGCATATACTGCACGTAACAAATTTTCCATCTTCCGATGGAATACTATACTTCCAAACCCAACTTTTACGTGAAGCCATTTAGTTAATGCGATTTACAATAGCAAATCGCGTCACACGTGCATAGCGTTTCTTTTGTCGCCTGCATTTGTTTATATGTAGTAACATGACAGAAAACATTTTCGGTGCGGTAGAATCAGCGCGCAGTTTTTGTACGGTGTCTATAGACGCCATCTGTACCGAAAAGGATAATATGTAATCGAACCTGTCGAAAATAATAATTCTATACCGACTGCGATAGTTTTCTATCTTAACTAGACTTCATATACCAAACTGCAAATACTATGGTCTGTTTTTGTAAAGGAGATGCCTGGGAGGTAGGCCCGACTTTTCGCGGTGTTGCCGCGATCGTGAGACACCTACGGCACTTGTGTCTCACTCACTCTTCGCCTACGGTCGTTTTTCTCCATCGCACGTATTACAAACTTCTCGAGAAGAACCTACCTACAATCTCAAGGAGTGGGGACTGCGTTCGGCACGCGCCTGTCAATCATCCATTGTCTGGAAATGGCGAAAAATGTTGATGAGACGCTGAACGTTTTCACACGTCAAGAGTTAAAATACATGAATAAGAAAAAGTTTATTTCTTTTGAAAGAATGTATTGTACCCAAATATTGAGCAACATATTAAAAGGGGATTAAATTAATACGTAGTAGGTTATTAAACGCTACACGTGGAAATCGCAGGGTAAAGAACGAAGTTGGTTTACCGAGCGTCTGAGCGAGAAGCTCTCGTGTCGAAGTGCCGGAGGATGGAAAGAGACACAGTGGCATTGAGCCGTCACAAGCCGACCCCCGAGGGCTCTTCTTTAGAAAAACAGACCATACCAGTTATAGTAATTCCAAGTTTCAAATATATTCACTAGAGACTCTAATAAACCATAATTAAAAAGTCATATGCAATAAGAGAACTCGCTCTAAATATTGTAAAACGTTAAAAAAGATTGGAAAATTAAATGTTGGTAACCTGTATTTTAAAAAATATAGTGTCATTAAGCTCGTCAGGGCACTCATTTTTTATATTTACAGTTTTTTTGTCCAGTCATTATTATTGGAGATAAAAATTATTGTTGAAGTTACTTGAATTTGGCGCTTTACAACAAATCTCTAGCATGCCTATATGGAGTGTATACAGAGCGTACTAGATGCGTGACTTGCTTCTTTGTTTTGGTCACTGACAGTCAGTGGTGAGCCCTCGCCGTGTGAAGCGCGCATTTTTTGTACAGAGTAAAAAGACAGTCAACCGGCACGTGTACGCACCGATGCATTGTTTTCTTGTATTGGAATTTTTGTTAATTACATATTTTCTGTTTATCCGATTGATTCGGAGTGTAGGCTATTGTTGCAGTGCATAAATTAAATTTGTTTTTTTTTTTGTGCTTCATTGCCAAACACGTGAGTTTTGTTTTTCTTTACATAGCCCGCAATAATTATAAATCAACAATTTCTCTCCGTCCGAAGTAAATATTTTTTGAAACATAAATTGAGATAACTTGAGCAAATATTAACGGATCGTTATGATACTTAAAACATAACTTCCGAAAATTGTAGCAAAGCCGCGAAGCACATGCACAAAACCCTTATTTAAAAAAATGTAATAATATTTCATTACAAAGTAATACCGGATAGAAACCATGTTTTTCAATATTCGCCAATAAAAAGTATCGATCCAATTTTGAGGAATATTAATTTTTTCTTAATATACCTACAAGGAAGATTTTCATAAATTTTCACACTGATTAATAAATTATTGTAAAAGATATGGCGATATTAAAGCTCGATGGACAACGCTTAACCCACTATAAAGTAATAAAAATAGCTTCAAGTAGATCATTCTTACGGAACATCACATTTTCTTCAAACATACCAGGTATCCTCATACATATTTCTGAGCGGTAGTGTAGGCAATAGTTGCAACGATCGTTGTGTCTTGGGCCACCAATATGATCGACACACCGTCATAAACGGGGATTTTCGGACAGCTGCACCTTGCGTCCAAAATGTTCAATATCCTCAAAACAATTATTTATTATAACACAATCCAGCGCTATATTTACATATTGTTTATTCATGATTGCAGTTGTTATACAGGGTGTTTCGTTTAACTGGAAACGGTGGAATATTTCACGAAGGATTAAAGCTATCAAAAAAATTTTCATAAAAAAGTTGTTTGGTACAAAGGGGGACATTACGTGGTATAAATAATTTTTCTATAAGTGTAGTAGTGGGGGAGATATCAAAGTCAAGTTAATTTTTTTAAACGTAACTTTGTATTTTTTATTCATATTATGATAGTGTTTGTTGAGACGAATACAACGAACTGCCACATGATATCATTCCGAGTTGTAAAATATCATAAATTAAATACAAAACAGTCACATCAACACGGATCGTGTGTCGTAGGTCAGCTGAACTCTACATGACTATGCCATCTACTCGTACCAGACCGATTGCTCCGTTTTTAATAAAATATTCCTGGTACGGAAACAACACCAATATTGTAGCAAATATGAGGAGTTAAGCATAAATAATGGATTTTAAATTTCACTTACTACTATCTAACTTGTAGTATCAAGAATTAATTAATAATTCATTATGTCATTTATCCTTCAACATGCTCACCATCGTTACAAATACACGTTTCTATTCTGTTTAAAAATTCTCTTTCGACACTTTTCAACATCTTGTCCGTTATTCTTTCGCATGCGACTATAATCCTGTTTCGTAAATCATCTTAAAATCTTACTAATTTATCACTTCCTATTACAGGGAATGATATCATGTGGCAGTTCATTGTATTCGTCTCAACAAACACTATCATAATATAAATAAAAAATACAGGGTTCCATTTAAAAAAATTAACTTGACTTTGATATCTCCCCCACTACTACACTTATAGAAAAATTATTTATACCACGTAATGTCCCCCTTTGTACCAAACAACTTTTGTACGAACATTTTTTTGATAACTTTAATCCTTCGTGACATATTCCACCGTTTCCAGTTAAATGAAACACCCTGTATATCTATTGGGTTGGCAAGAAAGTATTTTCAGTTGTGACACATAGATAGCGTTGTAAGCGTTTTGAAGGACTCCTGTCTGCTTTATGGTTGCTTCCTTTTGACATTTGATATCAGTCACATTTAGGTTACTTCAGAAGCAAGTTGTGCAAATTTTTGTTTGTAGCTGTTAGTTCAGGGTCAATTCTAACATGGAGTGCAAAAACGAACATTTTCGGCATATTTTACTCTTTTATTTTCGTAAAGGAAAAAAAGCTGCTGAGGCCCACAAAGAGATATGTGAAGTTTATGGTGTTGATTGCATAACAGATCGCAAGTGTCAGAATTGGTTTAAAAAATTCCGTTCTGGAGATTTTTCACTCAAAGATGACCAACGTTCTGGTCGACCTACTGAAGTTGATGATGACCAAATCAAAGCCATAATTGAAGAGGATCGTCACATAACTGTTCGAGAGATTGCAGAGAGGTTAAATGTATCGCATACAACAATTGAAAATCACTTAAAATGTCTTGGACTCGCTAAGAAGCTCGATATTTGGGTTCCGCATATATTGAAAGAGATTCACTTAACACAACGAATGAGTATTTGCGATATGCATCTCTAGCGCAATGAAGCCGATCCTTTTTTGAAACGTATCATCACTGGTGATGAAAAATGGGTCATGTACAGTAACATTATTCGAAAACGATCATGGTCCAAGCGTGATGAACCAGCACAATCCACATCTAAAGCTGAATTGCATCAAAAAAAGGTCATGTTGTCAATTTGGTGGGACTACAAAGGTGTTGTGTATTTTGAGTTGCTTCCAAGAAACCAGACGATCAATTCAGATGTTTACTGTCAACAACTATTGAAACTGGATGAAGCAATAAAAGAAAAACGGCCAGAATTGGCAAATCGCAAAGGAATTGTGTTCCACCATGATAATGCAAGGCCTCACACATCTTTAGTAACTCGTGGGAAATTATTGGAGCTTGGCTGGGAAGTGATGTCGCATCCCCCATACAGCCCTGATATGTCACCATCTGATTACCATTTATTTCGAAGTTTGCAAAACTCTTTGAATGGTAAAACTTTTACAAATGATGATGACCTTAAGTCGCATTTGGTTCAGTTTTTTGCTGATAAGGACCAGAAATTCTATGAGCGCGGAATCATGAAGCTGCAAGAAAGATGGCAAAAGGTCATTGAACAAAATGGAAAATATATGATTGATTAAAGTTGATTCTTTGTATACAAAAAATGAGTTTTATTTCACACTACAAAACCGAAATTACTTTCTTGCCAACCCAATATTATGTGTGTCCGACATATTTTACCTATAAATAAATGAAATGTAATTTTATAAATGTCTTTTTACTTCAGAATAATTTCAACGGAACAATCATAAATACAAATCACGTAAGAACTTAAAAAAAAATACATGTGAAAAGAAAAACCAACAAGGTAGGGCGGATGTCAAACTGCTGACGTTTGATTGTTCTTCTGCTCCTAGTAATGTTTTAAACTTTATAAATTCGGAAATAAAGTGAGAATAATAATTTCGTAATGCCTAGTGAATTAATTCTAATACTGAATTAATAAAGCATGACTTAAACTTTCTTTAACACGTTGATCTACTGTTTACATTCTAGCTATTATTGCGAGATGTGCACAACT